GATAACCCTTTTTATACAGTTTTTGTTTGAATATTAAATTTATATATACAGTGGCGGTCACATAATTAAAGACACTCTTCTGTGTGACCACATACAACAGTATTACAGACGTGGAGAGTACCCAAAGTAGGTATTAATTATATTTCATAGTTATTAAACTTTACACGGAGATCGTATTATTAAAATGGAAACATCAAAAACGTGTATTTAGCTATATTTGAGATTTCATTCCATTTTTAAACAAAATAAAAACTTTTTCGACAAGTTAACCACTGGCCAGATAATTAAAGACAGTGTGTTTTTCGTGTTCTAAATTTAAAATATAATGATAAAACAATTATGTTATTTTTCATTTGGCGCGAATTTTCACGGTACGTACATAGAATAAAAATAAAAACTAGCTTTGTACTTAATAGAAATTATAAAATTTTATTAGTGTTATTATGGGAAAAAACAAAAGCTGCGATCCGTCTACAAGGAAGACGATCCTCAAGTTTTATGGCAAAGGTTGGTCATATAGGAAGATTGCAGATCAGTTAGGATGCTCTAAAGATATATGGTTATGAATGCTATCCGGCATTTTAAGAACTTTAATACTACTGAAAATGTGCCCAGGAAGACTAGACCTAGAAAAACAACCCCACGAGAAGACCCAAGAATAGTGTTGTTGGCAAAAAGGGAACCGTTTAAAGGATCAGAACTGATTCGCTCAGAAATATTCGGTGAGGAAAGATTGAGAGGAGTGTCTGCAAGAACAATAAGAAGGCAATCGTGAGAAGCAAACTTATTCGGGAGAATATCTCGTAAGGTGCCACTATTAAAGAAGGAAAACATGCAAGCTAGATTAGTGTTTGCCAAAAAACATGAACACTGGACAGAACGTGAGTGGAAAAATGTACTTTTTTCTGATGAAACGAAAATTAATATGATTACTTCTGATGGAAAAATGTATGTGAGACGTCATTCTAAAAAAAGAAATGGATCCGAAGTACATGAAGAAAACAGTAAAACATGGAGGCGGAAACATCAAAGTTTGGGGTTGTTTTTCTGATTATGGTATAGGACCTATCAAGAAAATAAAAGGGGACATGGATACATTTCAGTACAAAAATATTTTAGAGGAAGTCATGATACCCTATGCTGAGGAAAGTTTGCCGGTGGTTTGGACTTTCCAACACGACAATTACCCGAAACACACAGCAAAAGTTGTCAAAGAATTCCTAAGGAGTCAGTCAGTAAACTGTGTTCGATTGGCCACCGTACAGCCCTGACATCAACCCTATTGAAAACTTGTGGTACCGCGTCAAGAAAATAGTGGCATCAAAACGTACCACTAACGTACACCAACTTTATGCGGCTTTTAAAGAATCATGGGAACAAATTTCAATTGAAACTTGCAATAAATTGATCGCATCAATGCCAAGGCGATGTCGGGCTGTTATTGCTGCTAAAGGACACGCGACAAAATATTAATAACGTGATTTTTTGTTTTTATAATGTGTATTAAATTTATCAAAATAAAATTGATTTCAATATTTGCAATATATTTTTTTTTATTATTACTTAGTTTGTGCGTCTTTAATTAGTTGGCCAAGTCTTTGCTTAGGTCATGGTGGTCTAAATGTAGTTAAACTGAATAAATATTCGGGACACATGAGGTTTATTTTCAATGTTTAATTCCAACATTTCACAATGAATGTCCGAATTTTCAACAGTGGTTGATGTTATTTTATTCATATTATTTTATTCACTTCGTCACACTTAAATGATAGACGTTTAAGTTTAAAAATCAAGGAAGTATCATCAGCAAATAATACTATATCATAATTATCCCTACAAGGGAAGGTAAGAAACTAAAAATAAGAATGAGCCAAGAATCGAGCCCTGAGGGACACCCATCTTTACGGACAACCCGGAAATACTTTTATATTTTTATTAGAAACTATTTTTTTTGCAGAAGAGGGCCATAAGAGCTATTTATAACCTTAAACCGAGAGAATCCGTTAGAGAAAAATTTAAAGAAATAAGGGATATTAAAACAACAAAGTTTATCTACTCTTTATTTACTTGTTGAAATTTAATACGAGCTAGAAACAATATTAAAATCATTCTTTTTTTTTAATAGGATATGGGTGACAAACGAGCACACAGTCCACCTGATGGTAAGTGGTTGCTGCGGCCCATAGACATCTACATCTATCCTCTATTACAAATCAAAATGTAGATGCGTTGTCACCCGTGAGGACTAAGATGGAATGCCTCATTTTCAGTAAAAAGGGCCTCCGGCCACCTGCACTCACCAAGCGAAACGCAGAGGTAAACCCCTACTTCACGCTGGTTTTCTGTGAGGTCGTGGTACCACCCCGGTTCGAGCCGGCCCATCCGTGCGACAGCAAAAGCTGCCGCGTGGCTCTACCACTGTTGAAAATTCGGAATTCATTGTGAAATGTTGGAATTAAACATTGAAAATAAACCTCATGTGTCCCGAATATTTATTCACTTTAACTACATTTAGACAATCACAGACAGTGATTGATTTTTATACATAGATATTATATTTAATGCTATCCTTGTGAATTTACTAAGGCCGGGTATTCAGAGACAGTGTCGACTTTGAACTCAATCCTTTGTCAAATGTTTGATCTCGGATTGGCAAAGATTGGATAAGCAACTTAGTACTAACCTTGACCCTGACATACGAATCACTAAAACCTTATGTTATGCTGCTATTTTCAGAGTGACTCTTCTTGGCTTATATGTGTTACCGTGGCATTGATCAATTATGGTTAATTACCTACTTATGAAAGATTTATTTATTACACCTCATTAACTCATTATGGATGTAGACTGCTTGGAATTGTTTATGTGTTACGTACTTCACATCACAATGCGTAATATATCCATTAGTGAACGTTAACGGAAAAATTCTAATGATATTACGATTGATATTTTAGCCGGCAATAAGACAATGAAACTCAGAAGTTTTATAGAAACATGTTAAATAAAATATGTTGAGACTTGAAGTCAAAACTCCTATAGAATCGTTGTGCTTTGAAAATCGATGAAACGAAAAAGCGACTAATAATTAAAAATTTTGTATAACCGATTTCAATATAAATTATTAAGAATAACATAAAAACTATTGTTCAAATCTTGATCAAATTTATATGGGACCACATGATAAGTACCAGCTTTCAAATATAAAAAGAATCATCGAATCGGTTCACCCAGGAAAAAGTTATCGAGATAACACACATAAAAAACACAGTCGAATTGAGTACCATCTCCTTTTCGAAGTTGGTACAAAAGAAATCTATAGGATTTAGCCTGCGAGAGAATGAGATAGAATACAGTATACAGTGTTTCCTATTATCTCGGTCTGCTTCTCTGTACCCCGAGCACGAACATTTTGCTTTTGGAAGCACGAACATCTAACGCTGCGTTATGCGTAGCTATCGTTTGGTTTAAGTAATCGTAAGACGCAAAATGTGTGGATTTTGGTAGCACGAATCTATTTTTGACGTACGTTATCGTCTATCCACTGTAGAGAACTACGAAATTGTTCTCACCGACATTTTTACAGCGAGAATGCTATCGAGAAGTCTTAGTTTTAAGTTTCTCTGGGTTTTTCGTTGATGTAAGTTTAAAATATTTTTATTAAGAACAAATAGAATGAGATCCACGACTTTTTATTATTTTGCGTGGCGTTTGGCAGTCGAGGAAAGAAGGCAAAGACGAGAATTAAGGTAATTAAAATGTACTATATTAAAGTATTACTAATTAATATATTCTGTAAATACCCTTACCTTAATTACTTATTTGATTAATTATAAATTTATTTTAATAGCTGTTTAAAATAAATATATCTAAATAAACTTGACCGGGAAACTTATTATATATAAATTCTAAAATAAAAGAATAAGCTTAAGGTATAAAAAAAAACTAATGCTCAGAATTAATTTACCTGCTGTAGTTATTATGCACCTAACCTCATATTTTTTTCATTTATGTTTTAGGTTCTTTGTGCTTTATTATTTTACGCAACAGGCTCTTAACAACGTTTAGTCGGTAAGAGAAAGAATTTGGTCCATACAAGTGTTAGCAAATATGTCTCTCAAGTTACGGAGGCACTTAACAGCCAATAAATAATAACCAATACCTTTATCATGTTCCCCACTTCAAGGGCTGAGAGAGACGTCATAAAAGTATTTACTTACAATATTTTATTTTTAGCTTTGTTAATGAATGAAAAATGGGTGGAGTGATGCGTAAACAGGGATCGCAATCTGCATTACAAACCCGAAAAATACGCCAAAATTATTATAGTTATAGCTCGTTGTGTCCTACATAATATAGCTATGCTATTTGGCGTATCAGACCCAGAGGCAGACGTGTACGGTAATAATTTAATTGATGATGCATGAGCAACCTGATTTATGCATTATAAGAAGTAACAGTTGTCAGGGTTAGTATATGTAAGAGGTCGTGCTATGAGAGGAATTGTTGTAGAGATATACTTAGTGCGGTGTCTTCTGTATGTAATTTGTGTTTATGCCCAGATTTAATTTTTATATTAATAATAATCTAACAATGATTTATTTATTACTTTATTCATAATTTAAATTAAATATTTTAAAATTTCGACCACTGCCAAGATCAAAAAAAAAGGGTTATGCTAATATGTATTAAGGAATATATGAATGGCAAATAACCCCTGGGAATGAGGTAGTTTCTACTAAGTTATTTCTAATACCAGTGTGACATAATACATGATTGTAAACAATTATTCTTCCTAAATCTTCCCTGGACACAGGTATTTTCCGAACCAGTGGTAAATTAAACATAAGAATGACCTTAAATAAGTACTATTTATAATGTATACTGGACACGAAAAAATCCATTTCTATTTCTATTGAATCCTTTTTTTTTTATTAATTGATTCTCTATTGTGTTGTAGGCATATCTACACAGTTTGAATAATGTTTTGATTTGTTTTTGTTACTAAGACTTTAGATTTTAAGTGTAGTCTATTTTTGCCAATATTAATATTAAGTTCAAATAAAAAAGTACATCAAAAATTTCAATGAGACATTTTATTAAAAACATGTACAATTATTATTATTTATATATTATTACACTGAGCTTGCACCTCAGCTCAGTATCATGTTGACAAAGTTCTCTGTAGTATCCTCTCTCGTTCTAATTATACAAATCCCTAACTTTCCTTATTATCATTCCTTATATTCTCCTCACTCAAAAAATATTCTTCTAATGATCTAAGTGGTTTCTTTTTGGCTTGTTGTGGGGTGGGTTGCCTGTGGAGGACAATTAGAGATTTCGGCGGTGGTAGATTTTGGAGGTGTTTAGGATCTGGTTATTGTTAGGAATCTGGGATTGGATGGAGGTATAAGTACTGGATCCTTGCTGTCGCCAGGAGTGTTCCAGTCCTCATCATCTGAAAAGATCAATTGAAAAACTTGAACATTCTACATTACTTTCACAGATATTTCCTTTTTATATTGTTAAAAATATTTGAAAGTTAAAAGATGTAATGACTAATTTGAATTATAAGTACTTTATTATTATAATTTCTTTAATTTATAAAATAAACAGGACTCATGATTACACACTAGTATCACTTACATAATGAAATTATAATAATTATTTTTTTATATTTAATAATTGCAATAGTTAATATACACAAAAGTAGTTGAAGACGTACCTATAGCGGAAATTTCAGATGATACAATTATTAAATTTTTTGTTTGTAGCTTTGCGAGTATAGAATACTGTTTTATTAATTACGGCAGATTATTTTACCTGTAAAATAATAAGATATTAGTCATATTCTAAAGTTATTATTCATATACATTAAGTAATATCTTCTGAATAATATATTTTCACAGAGAAAGTACGAGTATGTGTTAATAATTAATATTAAGATGTTAAAATTAAAGTTTTTACAGTGATTCTTACTAAAGTTCTATCTATGTTAAAGCACCCTATTCTCTAAGTATGTGAGACATATTTTTCCATATTAATTTAATTGTCTATAAGGTTTTGCCCACTATCTTTTTAAATCACTCCACATCTTAAGCAAACCAAATAAAACGATAATGAACCCAAAATTCTCTCTAAAGCGCTCTTGATTGATATTGAATGTTTTAAAAAAATAAGACTAGCACTTACTTTTCGCCACTTTTCTTCGTTGCGAGACTCCGATTCCTTGGCTGTTAAGTAAATCACATAGCTCCTTGCACTTTATAATACACCACTGTCGCCGTTCTGTGGTTTCGATAAATCACCGTTCCTTGGAAACAAACAATATTCATTATTTAACAGAATAAATCAGTATCAATATACAATGAACATATAGACTAAAATACAATCAAAACTGTTGTCTCAATATAGTTAAGTACTTACTTTTCCATTAACTCTACCATTATTGTAAAGTGTGTGTGGCTAGTTCTTGACGACATCATTATAACATTTAGCAGGAATTAACTAAAACAAATTCAAAACACAAAACAACACGAAGCGGAGCAGCGTTGTTCCTGACAAATTTAGGATTGCCGTATTCTAATTCCGAAATTGCCGGATTTTTAGGGAAAACTAAGAAAAATGCCGTATTATACCAAATATTTATTTAGAAGGTTAAATTTAAAAAAAAAACATGAAATGTTGTTTACGTAATAAATAAGTGTGTAATACAGTTGGACTAATTTTATTCTTCACCATATAGGTTTTGAATAGTTTCCAGTACTTCTGATTCTGTCGCATTTAGGTCATCCTTTTTTTTATCTTTCATTTTACGAATCATTTCGCTTGGCACTTGAAAATTTGTACAATTACCGTGATTACGGATTGCTTGTCTGGCTAGAAGAGTTCCATTAATAGTTGAAGTTATTAATTTATTTCGAAGTCTCGTTTTCATATTATTTACTTCACTGAAGATACGTTCGCAGTCTGCGTTCGAGTATGGCAGACATAAAACATTTAGAGCAAAAGATGCTAATGTTTTTAGTTCTGTTCCATCACGGATTTTAATCCAAAACTCATCGGTTTTCTGTGAGCTAATTTCATATAATGGTAATTTTACCACTGGTAGTATTCTCCATTCATCATCAATTTTTTGGAAATCGTCGGCATTATTGACGATTCGTGGCAACTTTTGCATAAGCGGTAAAATGGATGGACAAACATTTCTTGTTTGATTACTAGCTGCTTCTTCAGGTGATAAATATTTTAAAAGTTGAAGTAAATCGTCAGAGAAGTCGTATCTTTTTTTAATTTCTTTGCAGCCTGTGATGAGGAAATCTCTGCAGCGAGAGTAAAACTCTTTTAATTCTTCTTTTTTTGTTGATATATCTGGTTTTTGCGTTTCTATCATAATTTTTACCCCCAAATACATTTCTGGGAGAAAATATCGCGTATCTTCTGGGGCGATTGAGCTGATCACATTTTGTTGAACATAATCCCTTTGCATATAACACATTAATAATTCTTTGTACATTAATCTTATGTGTTCATCCAGTTCTACCAATTTTGAGTCTGCACTTTGAAAGTACTCGTTGAGTTTAATAAATTTTGGTAATATCCACTGCAGAAATAATAAGTAAAGCTTAATAAAATCGTCATGCAGCTCACGGTAAATTAATTCTGCAGCTACAGTTTTTTCTTCGAGCCATTTCTGCGTGAAAAACAATTTAAGGCTGTTCCACTGTTCAAGCAACCTGTTCACAACTGATAGCAGGGAAAGCCACCGAGTTTGCGATGGATGTAAAATCTTGTGGATTTTTGAGTTAGTAAAAACTTGAAATTCCAAATATTGGGCTTGGCGTTTGGAACTCAGTTTGAAAAAACCGTCAATGTTTCGCGCCAAATCTTCGCATCGTCTTGGTAATTTTTTGCATGCCTCACTGGCACACAAATGCATAGAATGGCATATACATTTAAAAATAAATATACCTGGCAGATTTTCTCGCAAACGGCTGGCTACTGAATTTTGTGATCCCATCATAACGTTGCAGCCGTCTGACGCGAATCCTATAATATTTTCTAATGGGATCCCTCTATCACTAAATTTCTATATAATGAGATCATACATGGCTTCTGCTGTAGCTCCCTCTGCTGCCATCGTAAAATCGCCTGCCTCAAATAAAGGTGCCAGTTCCCATAGTGAAGACATGACCTTTTTTTGCTGGTCATCAAAATAACGGATAATAATGCACATTGTTTTTGTGGCTGAAATATCCGTTGATTGATCTACCAGTACGCTGAATTTATTATTTTTAATAATGTTGTCCAAATAATCTTTTTGGAAATCACCAATAACATTTTTTACCGTAGATGTGCATTTTTTTCGTTTTATGGCAATCTCGGAAGCAATTCTGGAGTCTGGAAAACACGATTTTAGCAACTCTGATAAATGATCCATAGCCATAAATGATATGTTGTGCTCTGCGACGAATGCACTAAGTTTTATTTCGGCTTCCATTACTTTCCTATTTAGATCGGTTTGTCGATTCTGAAAATAAGTGCTAACGTCTTTTGCAGAAGAGCTCGCTGATGCTCTTCTTACGTGTTGAGTGTTTAAAACATGACGTTTTAAAGTTGAAATTTCGCAAGAAAGTTTGACATCACACACTGTACATTTTGCCTTGTAGGGGTCATCACTGACAGGGACAATCCAATTCTTAAACGTTTCATCACTTTCCCACTGCTTTCTGTACTTTTGTTTTATGTGTTTACTTTTTACCTTTTTTTTTTCGGCGTAGGTGGCCCGTCGTTATTGTCACACTCATTATCACTCATTTTCAATTAAAACTTTAAAAAATATTCGTAAAATAGCTTTAACTAATAGATCGTACATAAAGCAAAACAAAGCGTTAAATGACAGAACCACAATAGGTACAGCACAGTAACAATTATTCTGGGGATTCCCCACATATCCTAGAACCTACCCGAGTAAAGGTTATAAGTAAACTTACTAGAATGAGGAACTAAAGATTTTAGACATTAAAGCCTCAATGATAAGGTTGAATCTAGTTGAATACTTTTAACGTTTGACATTCCTACTTTATCTGTGGCAAAAATACTCTGTGTTCACAAGTTGGTGCGTTTCGTTATACGAAATATTTATTTGTGATTACTTTAGTCAAATACCGTATATTTTAATACGGTAATTAAATAGCTGCCGTATACCGTATTTTTGTTGCCAAAGTTACCTGAATGCCGTATATTACGGCAATTGCCGTATCAAGAACAACGCTGAAGCGGAGCGAAATCAAGTGTTTATTTTAAGAAATCCGCGTTCGGAAATCACAATTCATTAGAGGTGAAACATAGTTTTATAAACATAAAAAAGTTTCTCCATATATAATTATATAGTGTTTTGTCAAATAACTGTTTTACATTAATTAACACACTATTATTAATAAGTTTCATCACGTTTTCTTATTTTTACGCACATTAAAAGACTCCACAAATACAATGATAGCAATTTATAAACGTATCATTCATTTTCATTCGTTCGTTTTAATATTGAGTTCTAAGCTTTGTTTACATTTAGTTACAATATAGTATCGAGTACACTTGAATAAAAGATAAGCGTTCGTGCTGCCGACGACTTTAGTGACAGTTTCGTAAAAGTTTTCGCTTAGTTTAGTCTATACGAATTCTTGACGCAATTGTTTATTATTCGTGCTCGAGGTATTTCACTTGTACCGCGTGTGAACTGCACAAATTTTTAGGGTTCCGTAGTTACACAACAAGGAATCCTTATAGATTGGCCATGTCCGTCCGTCCGTCCGCGTTTTTGCTCAGAGACCCTAGGTGCCACAAATCTGTAATTTGGCATAGTTATAGATATTAATCACGCCTAGAAAACTGTGAAATTAAATCTTAATAAACATTTTTATTTTGGGTACTCCCCGTAGAATTAAATGGAGGATGATTTTTTGTACCCGTCTATTCCATCATATGGGGTATCGTTGGATAGATCTTTCAAAAACATTGGCAGTGTATAACAACATCTTTTCGATTCAGGGGTTGCGAAATATTTAGCTTTAAAGTGGTATTTTTCATTAGTCATGTGTCCCCACATCCAGGGGTGTCACTTCCACTATGGAAGGTATGGAGCACTCCATACCTCAAGTTTTTCAAGGTATGGAATTCCATAGCTGAAATTAGGAAATAAATCGCATATTACTACAAACCCCATATAAATAAATCGCAAGCCCTTAAACCTCAATACCCCACATCTTATAGTTCAATAAATAAGTTGAGTATATACACTGCAAACTCTTAAACCTTAATACCCCACGAGTAATGCGAACAAATTTGAAAATCGCGCCACCATTTTCCATACCTCAGATTTTTACAAAGTGACACGCCTGCCCACATCTACCAACTAAACCACTGTTTTTGGAAATGTGAAAAGTATACACAATAGTAGTATATATAATGAAGTTAAAAGGAAAACTATCATAGCTAGTCAACCAACTTATAAAATGCACTTGGGTTAAAAAAAATTCGTTACTACTCCATAGAAAATGACCTACAACTAGTTGCATTAATAACTTTGTTAAATAATAATAATGTTATTGTGAACTATTAAAAATAAACATTTTATAAAGAAAAAGACATATGCATTACTACTATTAGCTTTACTTTATCAGTTGCGGGATAGATAGGGTATTATTATCAAAATCCTAATTTTTTTAAATCTTTTTTGAATGCCACTCCCACTCCCTATAAGACTGATTTTAAAATAAGTCCTTCAGTTACGATCTTCCTATTTGGCCCATTTTTGGTCGTAATATATCACTATACTCTTTGATCGTAATAGCGGTCAAACCTTTCAGTATATATAAAAGTACTCTGTGGTCAAACCGCGAACTCACTTATTATCAGTGTGACCATATGTGGCAGGTTCCTGCCATTTTAGCAGGATTGGCCTCTTATTTTAGCCTCTGGCATGATCGGTTGACGTTTTATAAAACCTGGCAGTCTTTGGCAGTATTCAGGTAACAAAAATAGATTTCATTATGGCAACCTAAAATGCCGAAAATGGCACCCCTATGTACTTCGCCAGCATGTGGGGGATTTCCCTGTATTTCTAGTGTTATGTTTGTAACACATTCAATAAACAACTTTAAAAGTATAGGATGTAAAGTAAACACGAGTTAATGGTTAATATTTCAATCAGTCATAGAAGAGACGTACTATAGATTGTTATCGCATTAGATTTCGTGGTGACAATATCTTGTTAGCGATATTTTGTTAATGATGTTTCGTGGACGATATTAATTATTGGTCGTGATGATGAAGCGAAAATATAAAAGGCCGTATATAGCGGAGTCGAGTAAGGTCCTTTACTTTCATCGTGGATCTTCAAAGCTAAAGATAATCAGATCCAAATTGGCATCCCGGCTGTTTGCTTTAAAGGAGCATGCCGCTCCTAGTAAACATAAAAAAAAAACATCCGTGAGTATCGTGGAAAACTCGATTGGAACGAAGTTCCTTTCGTAGTGTATTATTATTGATAAACGTATTACATTATTGATTAACAAATACAAAATACATGAATTATTAGCGTCTAAAAGTGAAGCGTCATTTAAAATAAAATAATATTTCTTTCATGGCGTAATAATAAAAAGTTCGAGGGAGATGGATATTATTTCATGTCCCTTTCTCTACACTACACCAGAAGGGGTCGTGACTCGTGACTGAAAAGATCTTACACTTTTTCTCGCCTAGTCCCCATCCGCCAAATTCGTACCGTCCGATAAGAAACTTCGTTCCAAAAATATGTTTGGATAAATCTGTCAAATAAATCTAATTAAGACAAAAAGACGAAACAGATTTAGATATAAACAAACATATAGCGTCTGTCTTGCACGTTAAACAAGGCATTGGTGAGCATGGCGATTGCATTTCATTCAATCCAACGAAGGAAGTTTAATTATCATTAAATAAAAATATTGCATTTAAATGTGTATTTTTACTTTTCTTACTTTAATACAATTAGACAATGGTAAAAAAAGTTGGCAGTATTTAGGCATTTTTCACTACAGATTGGCAGGTTTATAACCAAAGTAAGGCAGGATCTGTATTTTAAAGATGGTCACACTGCTTATTATGCTCATTATCAAGGAAGCCCGCGTATTGTGACCAAAGAGTATAGTAATTGGAGGTGGGCAAAGTGTATCATTTTTGGGATTGGAACATTTGCATCTTGATCACTGAAATGTTCCGAAACACTGATATGTTTCATTTGGCTCATTTGTATCATCGCCTCAAAAAATATAAAAGAAAGAATGTTCCGAATAGGTACATTAAGTTGCGTCGCGGGCGTTTATTACTGACTGATCCGTGAAATATTATGTGGCAACCATGCTGAATAATATAAGTGCTTAGATTATTTATTGTGTACCGTAATAAGATTGTATATAAAATCGATTGCCCTTCATACTTTAACAAAAATGTCACTATGTCAATTCATTATTTACAAAAATGTCCATTTACACAAAACGGCAATGTCTATGTACACAGAATTTACTCGTAAAGTATCATAACTCTAAACTTTACTATGAAAAGGAAGAAAATAAAGTCACAATAATCACTACGCAAAGAAATCCTAAACATAACTCAGTATGTTTTCGTAAACAGGCGCTAATGAATATAAATAATTTGACAAGTGCCGCATCAACGTAAAATGTCAACTTGTTAATGCAAACGTTACATACAAAAAACGACCGTATAGTATTTGACACATAAGCGCCTTAGTGGTAATTTTTACGTGCATGAATAACGTCAGCGAAAATCCGTACGAGTTGAGGATACACTTCTTATTTGTTATCTCTATCTGACTTGTGTGGATTATAATTATTTCGCCCGCTCACTCGCCACTCGTGAGTCAATAGTTAAGTTAATCATTGTCTCAGTCTCTCTCTCTCGCTCGTGGCTCAGTCGCCTCGCAAGCGACGCGTCGCGCGAAATGAGCAAAGAGCAAAGTAATGTTTCACTGTTCCAGATACAAATGATACATTTGAAACGTTGTTACTGAACCAATCTTTGGTGTCACTTCAATGATTCGTATCAGTGAGTCGTTTCCGTAAAGAGATACACACGCCTAATAGTAATATATAAGACCCCGTCAGGGTACATGTATTCTGTGATTGTGACGGGCAACGATGGAACCATACCTCTACATTGTGCGTGGTCCGACACGCACTTGGCCAGTTTTTTTTTTAATAAAAGTTGTAGCCTATATACGTCCCGCTCATGGGCACAGGGCTTATCCAAAGCATGTTGGCGGATTTTTTAAATTCTGACATGCAAGATTCTTCGCGATGTTTCCCTTCATCGCCGGACACGTTTTTTTTATACAATAAGGGTGACAAACGAGCACACAGTGCAACTGATGGTAAATGTATACTGTACTCATAGATATCTACTTCCTGGTACCCTTGATTAAGAATTAAAATGCTGATGCATTGTCACACCTAAGATGGAATGCCTCGTTTACAGTAAAAAGTGTATTCTGTTCTCTACACACAGCAGCATTAAGCTGCTGTTTTATGCTGGCACTTGTTTTTGCAGTTAACAATTTCATTGCTGCTGGTGGGGATCACACCCCGGTTGCTCGTGTACTGCGAAATTTACATTAAGCGCTTAGCTACCACTAGTCTTCTTTCAGATTTTGTATATACATCAAAAAAATGAATGACAAGAATGGAAGTAATTCAAAATTTCTAGTCAACTAAAATACAAGGTGTATATTTTCTAGTCCAACATATCCATCCTATCAGTATTATTTTTGTAAATGTTACCTCCACACTAGGATTTTCTCCTGTACGGTGGTGGCAGTTTACATACATAAATTACTCAAGGACAAACATCCAGACACGGATCAATTATTTATAGGCCTTACAAAATACTTCTTCCGTGTTGCATTCGAATTCACTGCAACTCATTGCTAAATCACTGCGCTACGGAGCTATCAAATCGAAGTATTCATCATAATCATTAATGCCCATCAAAGGGTTCTGCTAAACATGGGCTTCCCCAATAGATTACCTCATACCACACCATATTTGTCATAGTTGCCACCAGTAGTGCAGTTTATAATTTTGAGTTATCAAGAAGATGCTGCAACCATCTCCCGTTTCAGTTTCCCTCTTACAACACCCACAGGATGATAAGGGGTAGTTTATTTTAATGATAAATGTATTAAAAGTGCAAATAAAACAACAATCTATATTTTACAAAACAAAACAGTAATAATCCATAATGTTATACATTTCATTAAAATTACTGTAGCAGTTTCATAAATACATCACATGGCTTAATGACAATAAATTAGATGATTAAAATTTCAAAACATTGATGACAAGGAAATAATACTTTTTATAATTTCAATGATTAGTAAAATTTAATTAAAAATTATGGTCACAATTCACAATTTCAATTGTCATTTTGTAATTGATTCTAAAGTTTTCTTTTTAATTAAAAGTCATAAAACTATGAACATTACTATGAATTTTGTATAAAACGCAGTGACATTGAAAATAATTGTTTACAAAATATTTTACAACAAAGAGGGAGACACAAAATGGTATAATTGTACTAAAATGGTTTTACATCGGTCATTGTTATCCCTAAAACTAATTTTTGCTAATGTGTACCTTAAGTACAAGTCAAAAAGTTTAAATATTACATTTATATACACCTGATAACTTACGCTGGCAAAGTTACTGCAGTTTGAGAAAATAGTATAGTTATCAAGTTATTACTCAGACCAATAATGAAAGATAAGTGAAGTATATATTTAAAGTGATGCCAGAACCAAGCCAAAATCCATGCACAATATACAGTAAGAACATGCACTTACACACATGTTTAAGTCCTTTGCAACTAACAACATTGTGCATGAGTGCATCTAGCTGTGAACTTTTTTACAGGCTGTTGAAGATGTTTATGAAAGTGAGTGTCAAGAAGTTAAAAATTATCTTTTAACATTTGTAATCTATGTGGTGTTTGGTCAATCTTTCTTTGTTGGTCTGAGTACCATTATTGTTTTTTGTTCTGCCATGATTAGTTTTGTGCCGCTTGCTTCTCCAAACCAGCTGGGTCCAAAATTGCTGGCGGTTTCTTAACAATACCAGACAATAGGGTCTTGATCTGGGCAATTGCACGACCTGGGTTCAAGCCCTTAGGACATGTTCGTGTGCAGTTCATGATTGTGTGACAACGGTATACAGAGTAGGTGTCCTTCAGTTTAGATAACCTTTTCTCAGTGGCATCATCACGAGAGTCAATAATCCACCTATACGCCTGCATGAGGACAGCAGGGCCAAGGTACTTGTCTCCATTCCACCAGTATGACGGGCAACTTGTGGAACAGCATGCGCAAAGCACACACTCATACAAACCATCTAGTTTGGCGCGATCTTCTACATCCTGCAGCAACTGTGTCTCCTTACCTTTAACGGCGTCTTTCTCACGCTGCAGCCACGGTTCTATTGACTGATATTGGCGATAGAAGTTGCTCAAGTCAGGTACGAGGTCTTTCACAACATACATGTGCGGGAGAGGATAAATTTTGGATGGCTTGGAAGTATTTTTGTCGATATGACTGATGCAAGCAAGGGTGTTAACACCATCAATATTCATAGCGCAGGATCCGCAGACACCTTCGCGGCAAGATCGACGGAAAGTTAGGGTAGGGTCCATTTCGTTTTTAATCTTGAGCAATGCATCAAGAACCATGGGTGCGCAATCGTCTAGATCTACTTCATAGTTTTGCGTGTACGGCTTTTTATCGGGCTCGTCGGGGTTCCAGCGGTATACTGCAAATGTTTTTATTCTCTTTCCAAGGGCCGCTGACGTAGCAAAAGTACGCAGTTGCCCAAAACTGCCAGAAGTCAGTCGAAGCAATGGCATTATGTAATGTTTTTAATAATTATTGTCACTGAACAAACAAAGTCATATAAAACAGCACACGAAGAGTTTTTTGATACGTGTAATAACGAAGTATATTTTTCGATTTTTATCGAATTAAGTCAGATGTAAAATCGTGCAACTCTTCGCGGATCGCGGAATATTTTGGAATGATTGGTTTTGATTCATAGATAATTGTTTTTTTTAATAACTGGCTTTACGGCTCTGGGTTCTAGCCCTTCTAAGCCAGAAGCTACAATGTATAATTATCCTTCATAGTACACTGTTTTGTGCCTGGGTGCGAACGGCGTCTCCTCTCGGGGCTCTGCCAGGCCCTCGACCCCCACGGGCGGGGGCGTACAGCCACGCCCTCTGCCGGGCTACTCTCGGCGCCCGCCGGCCAGCCACCGGGCCCCTAGGTTTGGAAGGGGTCCCTCCTCCGACCAGTCGGGGGGTAATTCCCCCAGGGGCGGGGGTGTCATCACCCCCCCTCAGCGTGTGGAGAGGAACTTCACGGCCACTCATCGGTCCGCTGGACCCTCCTCACTCCCGTTAGCTGAGTGGCCGCGACTGATGTACCACTGTTCCCCATTTGATGGAGGCGGCCCTGGCTAGCTGCCGCCTTAGCTCCCACCACGGCCGCCTCCACTGAGCCTTAAGCCGTCAACAGTCCACTTGTCAAAATATTATGTTGCCGACGGCCTCAGTGAAGGCGTACAACCCGAGTGGCGACTGTTAGCGGTTGCGCTCTATTGATCTCGGGTTCACGCCATGTGGCCTCCCCTTGGTGGTGGGAAGATTAGGGCCCCCCCTGGAGCGTTGAATCACACTGTCAAGGGGTATTAGATTTGGTTTGGTCGAGCACTTAGTCAAAAAATACTTGAATTAAAATTAAAAACTGCTTTGGGCTTTCCGCGAAATTTTCCAATTTGTAAGCGGTTTAAATTAAAAGAATTGAATTTAATCTACTCCTTTAAATGCTACTGTATGTGTTTTGTACATATATTTAATCACTGTATTTGATTGTTGCGTCTGCTTGCTGAAAGGAAAATTTGAATTCATTTGAAATTGAATGGCGCGCTATTTGAAAAATTATGTATATGTTTATGATAGTGTTTTATCATTTTGCTTTGCGAAGAAGTAGGGATGTCCCTTACGTTATTGTTTTGTTTAATTTGCAAGTTGACCTATGCGCATCGGTGATTAATTTGGTTGAATTGATTCTGTAGTTGAACATTGATGCTTTTGAAAAATTAGTTGAAATATGAGCATAGGACTACTTGTCTAACAGGCTAGCTAGTTTTGGAGATTATCAGATTGAAATCAGCTGCCGCACTATTTTAGTAAATGATAATATGGTGGGTGGCCTGGCTAGGCCTACTTGTTGAAAATTCATACTAGGGACTATCTGTGCGTTTCGTTCGGCTCTCCACAGACGACGTTCATGTGGAATTTGTGGGTGCGCTCTGCACTGAAGCAACTGCTGGCACAAAATTTATCTGGGTAGCTTCGTGTAGCGTCGCTGTTTGCAGAGCTGATCCGGTCGGATTGCGGAACTAATCATAGGGGCACAGATAGGTGTTTGAAAGAGGTCGTCGGACTTCTGTCCAGTACAGGACTTGTTAAAGTGCTGCGATGCCCAGGAGGGGCATTCAGTGGAGGCTGACCCTCCGGCTTGCCACATTAGGGCTATCTTTTGAGGCTTGAGGGTTGCCTAAGGTGGCCTAGTTTGGTTGTAGATTCGGTCTTACAACTTGCAGTCTCGACCTTGTCCCGCTGACCGGTTTGCTCGCGGACCTAAATCCTTATGTCCGGGACGGGGGTTTGTTCGCGCCAATTACTGGTTGTCGGTATCGACGTCTAGGGGGCGCGCGGCTCTAGACGATACCGGTTTGAAGTTCGGCCGAGCGTGGTAAGTGGCGGGCGGGTCGCGAGCGTAAAGGCGAAAGAGTCGTCTGTCAGCTGTGCTTGGAACAGCACGCTGTCATTTTTGTCGGGAACTCGGAATAATTCGGCGCGGCCAGTAAATATACGGTCTACCATTGTGACGCGCATTCCTGCTGGAGAGCTTCCCAGGGACTCATTGTGTCTGACTCAGAATCTGCATAAGTGCATTCGGCAATATTAGCTAGTGCGGCCTCTGATATTCTAGAACTAACTGTTGCGACGCGAAACGGTAGTGACCTTTGATCCGTAAACTCCGTGTGCGTTTTGTGAGTTAATCTTATACCCAGCGATAGTTAGTGGCTTCTGTAAGTTAGTTAATCGTACGATAGAGTTAATTGACTGTCATCGTGACGAAAGAGGAAAGTGACTGTGGACAACCTCGGAAGGCCCCCTCAAGTTGGAGCGGTGTCGACGCTCGGGCTGCTGCCGACGGTCAAGGTCTAGGTTCAATCACCATCAGTCACACCCAGATACACATCACATCATTTCCCTTGCACTACACAACCACATGCGACCTGACCGACTCCGGAGGGACCAGTCGCCTTGGATATAGGTAAGTAAGCTACGTCCAAATTCCTCCCGGTCGACTGGCCGTAGTATAGAACGCTCCCCCATATATTTTAGTGTAATTAGAGAGATTCCACGTGGCCATATTCTGGCCCCGTCCCTCTGCTGCTCGTCGATGGGATTACTCATGGGCCCTAATCCCGTCAGCCTTGGTTGGGGCAGCTAGGGGCGTGTACAGACGTTTTCAAGCTTCTGGACTGGAAAGGATACGGTATTGACATCAATGGCGAGTACATCACTCACCTTCGATTTGCCGACGATATAGTCCTTATGGCAGAATCGCTGGAGGACCTAAGCACCATGCTGAATGACCTCAATAGTGTCTCCTAACGAACAGGTCTTAGGATGAACATGGACAAAACAAAGATTATGTTTAATGTCCATGTCACACCTATGCCGGTAGTTGTTGGGAACACTAAGCTCGAAGTTGTTGACGAGTATGTTTACCTGGGACAAGTAGTCCGACTAGGTAAGTCCAATTTCGACCGAGAGGTCAATCGACGGATCCAACTCGGCTGGGCAGCGTTCGGGAAGCTACGACACATTTTCTCGTCAGACATACCTCAAAACCTTAAAACGAAATTGTACAACCAGTGCGTGTTGCCAGTGATGACTTACGGATCTAAGACGTGGTCCTTCACTGCTGGCCGTATGAGGAAGCTCAAGGTCGCTCAGCGAGCTATGGAGAGGGCTATGCTCGGGGTTTCTCTGCGTGATAAACTTAGAAATGAGTATATCCGCAGTAGAACCAGAGTAACCGACGTAGCCCAACGGATTAGTAAGCTGAAGTGGCAGTGGGCCGGCCATATAGCTCGAAGAACCGACAACCGATGGGGAAGAAAGGTTCTTGAGTGGCAGCCTCGTACCGGTAGGCGAAGTGTAGGGCGACCCCCCTAGAGATGGAGTGACGACCTGGTAAGACATGCAGGAAATCGATGGATGCAGGTGGCTCAGGACTGTGCTTTGTGGCATTCCTTGGGGGAGGCCTATGTTCAGCAGTGGACGTATGAAAGGCTGTAATGATGATGATGATGATGATGATGATGACGGCAACTTGAGCTAGCAGACAGCAGGGTTGCCAACTTTATTTTTAGGAGATCGTACCGTAAACTCAGTTATAGGGCCACTCCATTACTTAACATACGTAAATGAATTAGAAAACATAATTAAAAAATGTAGTTTATACCAGTACGCTGATGATACGTGTCTTCTGTCAGAAGATAAAAATGTGGAAATAGCCATGCAACAGTTACAAGATGATTTTTCACGCCTCTCTATGTGGGCACACGACCTAGGACTTATAATAAATATACAAAAAACCAAGATACTACACATTCACTCAAGTCACATCAGGAACATTAGGCCAATCAGCATTATCGCTCATAATCATCTCTGTCTGCATAATACAATAACTTGTTCATGTGAAAAAATTCCGGTTGTACATATTTAGGAGTGGTCATAGACGATAGGATGAACTGGAAGAATCATATTGATTACGTGTGTAGTAAATTAAGAGCAGTCCTAGCGAAATTTCATATTATTCGTAATACAATTCCATTTAAAATTCGTTTAAGCCTTTATAATGTTTTAGTGGAATCGATAGTGTCATATGGTCTTAGTAGCTATGGGCGAACTTTCCGCACTTATCTAGATAAAATATACAGCTTACAAATAAGACTGTTAAAATCTATTTTGCCTCAACATATCAAGGATAAATATCGCAATGACTACTCATACCTTTTCACGTACTGCAATGTTTTACCCATACATAAAAAGGTGAAATATATGCTTCTGAAAGAATGTTATGAGTACTCAATAGACCCAACCCCAAGAGATCGCAATTATAACACCAGAAATACAACACCTTATTCACTAATTAGAACGAATAATTACTACGGTAAAAGAACACGTAAATATCTAATACCATACCTGTTAAATTCTTTACCTACAGAATTAAGAAGCCAACTAACAGCACAAAACATAAAAACAAAACTTAAACGTTTTTTATATAATTAGAATTCTTCAAAAAAAAAAATATTAAATAATAATCATGATAATCTATATTTATCTATGCAAATATATTGCCAAAAACGGACAAATAAACAAAACGTGTAAGCAGAGAAAAAAAAAACTAGTCCTTAAAAATGCATTCCGTGTGTACGCGCGTCATTAATTTGCAGTATCGTGTATAAGCGAGTCGAACAATCGAAGACAATAATATTCACATTCTTGCTTATTTCTTGTAAACAATATCAAAAACTACCCTCTCCATAAAAAAAAATAGTTTTAGAAATATCTAAAATAAAGTTTGTATAAAATTATGTAAGTAAAAAAAACGCTTAATATTCTCTCACACAATTGTAATATGGTATTTTATATTTAGGTTAAGTAACGGTTAAGTTCAATATTATGTAAAATAAAGTATAATGTATAACATATTAGAGCAAACTGTGCAGTGCCAAGACAAACACAATTGTGTTTAATGGCAC